CTTAGGTTCAAAACTCACATTTGATGTAACATGCAATCTTTTTGGTATTCTGAAATTAATTTTTGACGTAAGAGTTTTGAATCACTTGTATTTATAAATGTGTTGTTTTTGAAGTCGTTCCGCTGTGAATATATCTCCTCTGTATGTGTGTGTTTGTGTTTCCCTGTATGTGTGTGTATGTGTATGTTTGTGTTTATCATGTCTTGAGCGATTTCCCAACTCGTCTGGGGGGAATTTGCAGCCCTCCCACTCCCTCTGCCATTCAGAAGCCGCATCTGACCACTGCACACGTCCCCCAGCGCAGCCAGAGCGCTGCTTGTGCCGTGAGGAGGGCTTGGCCCGCATTGCGGGCTGTTGACAGGCCCGTTACCGTCTCCTATTTAAAGCGGCTGCATCAGGGAGCAGCTGTGATCACACAGCTCTGTGAGCACCACGTGCCTCCCTCCGAGTGGAGATCATTACTATCGGAGGTTTTCTTTAACATTTTCCAAAATAGAAACAGAATCTTTGGTTCGGTTCACAAAGAACAATCAAGAATACATTGGAAACAGATGCGCAACGGGACTTGCACTTGAAAGACCAAACACTGCGGCACGGAACTGAAGAGCCGAGAAGCATTTCCGACTGTTTTCTTACTGAGTCGGACACGGCAGAGCTCTATTTATAAAATGGGATTTGTAGTGACAGATAGGGCCCATGTGCTGGGAATGTTTTTGGCACCACTAACTTTAACTCCAGTCCCCTTGCAGAAGCCCTCCCTCTGGTCTCATGAAAGAGTTTTTAAATTTAGCACAGAGCATTTCTGTCAGAACACAGGAGTCCTTCTCTTCGAGTGTCAGGGCGACAGGGCTTGGCTTCCGGCATCAGACGCAGGCAGGCACACGGGGTTCAGGACAGGAACCGGTCCTCCGGCTTTGCACACAGGAGCCAGATCGGATGGATCTGCCGAAACACAGGAGACCTTCACACAATCCCCTTTTAGACGTTAGGGAGCCCTGTCGGGTTGAAACAGCTATGTCATGCGGAGAGCCTGAAGTTCTAGTAAGATAAACCTTTTTTCCTTTTCTCATGAACCATGAGTGTGTTAATATCCCTGTGTATTTTGCATAAAAGAATGGTACAGGTCAAGTTTTTAAAAACTATAATATAAATAACCGGTATTGTTTGGTGTTCTATCCTACTGGCTTTTTTCAATGTATTCATTTTACATTTCCTTCGAAGAAACAATTAGGATGGAAATAATATTTCCAATCAGAATCTCTTTTAAAGATCAGTGTCTGTTTGCTCGGTACTAGTTCACCTGGTTTAGATTATTTTTCCATGTGAATGCTGTCAAGAGATGGAAATGACTGTTTTTCATGACATGAGAGAGAAAGCAAGCACTAGAGTGCCCTCTCTTGTACAAAGTGGAAACTGAAATATTTCCATAATAAATACTTTGAAGTGGAATGATCTCTTCAAGAGGTGATTCGGTGCATGGTTTAACTAATTCAGCAGCAGCTGCAAGGGTAGGTGCAATTTTAGGGTTTTTTCCCCCTAAATCACACTGGTTTATGTGTTCAGCATCCTAATCCATTTTATACAGTTAACTGGACACTATTTTATATAATATCTTGCCTCAGATTACTTTGCATATCTCTTGTAATAAATATATATGTTAAATATATAATATATAATGACATATAATATATTCAAATATAAAATATATTACATATAATAATATATATTATAAGTTTATCACACTATAATTATAAATGTTATACTATGATTATTATATAATTATGTAATATATTATCTAGTAATGTATTGTAATACATAATACATAATAAATCTATAGGATTAGTCATTTTACAGGCATGTCTCACTATCAGATAACTGTCATATATATCCCTTCTTTAATTTTCAAATAAATAAGGGCCATGGCTTTCTAATTTGCATGTTTCCTAGTCTCTTTTAATGTTAAGATTTCCTTTAAAGGCCAGCTTCTTCAGAGCTTTAAAAGCATAGTCAAGGGTGTAAGAATAATTTCTTTACATAGTTCATCAAGCAGGCATTCATTTAGTGAGTTAGAAGCCTTTGTTAATCTCGCTAAGCTACATCAGACGCCCACCGTATGCTGTCGTTGGCTACTCGCATGTCCGCCGATCTGGTTGTTGCTGTCACCCTGTCGGTGACGTGCGCGGTGTTATGCCACTTACCGATGAAGAAACTGATACGGAAGGTTTACATGACTGGCTCACAGTCAGCAAACAGCCAAGTCCCAACATGAACTCGGGGTTTCTGACTCATAAGCCAGGGGCTCTTAGTGAGTAAAACATGAGTAAGCGGTTCTCAGAACTCTGGGGGCTCTGGGAGCACAGGGTTAGTTTATATCTCTTACCCTCAAAGGAATGTATTGCTTAAAATTACTGGATTCTGCGGAACCCAGTGCTCTTCTTGGTCATGTTTTGGTTTGACTGCAGTTGTTTGGGTTGTTTGAGGGACTCACATCTATTTTTCTTTAAAAAAAAAAAGGTACGAAAGTTACTACTATTTCAAACACTAATATGACCAATGTGATATACATGACTCATTTTCATAAGTACCTGTTGGCTAATTTTTTTTCCCCAAATGATAGTTTAAATGACCACTTGAAATATATCTGCAAAAGTATGTTTTGGTTCTGTGGTTTTATTCAAAGGATCAGGCAGTTCACATAAACATAAGCCTTGCTCTTTCAGGACCTAATAAATCTGACCGCCAGTCTGATCATGCCTTTTTCTCTGGAAATGATACATGTTTATGGCTTTTTTATTTCTACAGTTTTGAATGAGCAGTGACAGAACTGTAATACTAGTTGACAAGATTTGTGAAGTTACCTGATACCATACAGTCATAGAATTTTCTTTATTTCTACAGTCACAGCCCTTTCAGACAACATAAAACCAAAGATAAGCATGAGATAGACCGAATGACACTCACCATGGTAAGGTTAAAAACTGTTTTTTATTTGCTTTATAATTTTCATGTTTCATTTCATTACCACCAGTGTTTTTTAAAAAAAAATGCTTCCTTAAAATAACGGAGACTGATGCCAAGGCAGATACCAGGATGTGCTAGCAATCGGTAAGAGAAAAGTTTAGAAAATCAAGAACAAAATGAAAGAAATAAAATGAAAGGAAAAATGTGCTGGGCTGCGTAAGAACGAGGCTACCTTCTGATTCTTCTGGCCCCAGCCGGTTGATTGACCTTAAAAATGATTTGTAACAGGTCCATGTTTCTTTAGAATAAATGTTCATTGGTCTGAATCTACAGTTTTGTTCTGTTTTATTTTTTTTTTAACACTGCTTATCCAAGAAACGGCCTTTAATTCTGGTTGGATGTGAGGGCACGGTTTCCATGAATGCATTTTTGAAATTGTGTTCTCTGCCTCCCTCCCCCCTTAGAATGTTGAACTTCCAGACACCTTCTCCCCCGAACTGAAGTCCCTTCTGGAAGGCTTGCTCCAGCGAGACGTTACTAAGCGACTCGGCTGCCGCGGAGGCGGGTAGGCCGTTGCTTCTGCCTTTCAGCATCTTTGCCCAGAAAGCAGAGCAGCAACTTTCAATCTTAGCAAGAGTCTTCCGTTTCAATTTGAGGAGGTGGGGGTAGGGGGACCACATGGGAACTGTGTCTGTTGTCCCATGTGTAATTAACAACTAAAGGGGTCACTACCTTTTGGACTTAAAAAGTCGAATCAGGTAGATGATAGAGAGGAATTCTGATATTTCATAGTTCGTTTGGTTACATATCAGTAATGATTATCTTTGTGATTATGGCAGTTGAACATTCTGATCTGGTGCTCACTTATTTCCTCCCACGTGTAACTGATTGACTGCTATCTTAAACATGCTTTCTGTCTGTCACCCCTCACTTTGGGGGGCGGGACCCAAACAGCAATACTTGGAAAGCTTATGGAGAAGGACTTAAGACAGACCCTTCTCCTGTTTCTCCCTGTTCCCAGGCTTGCTTTGCATATATACAACTTTTAACGTATGTTGTATGTATATAGGGCATGTGGTGGGGCAGGATTCCTTGTTTGGAGTTCCAGTGAACATTCTGTCTTCAGCCTGTCTCACCCCGCCACACACAGACACACACGCACGCACGCACACACACACACACACACACACACACACTGTGATGAGCCTGGAGCTTAGCATCTCAGGCCCCAGGGCCATAGTTCTCCCACTGCTTCAGTGACTGCTCCTCCATCCGCTCCCATCTTTTTTGCTGATGGGCCCCTGTCACTCTCTTTACAGTAATTTTAGTGATTTTGGGGAAGTGAGGAATTGGGGATGACTGGCTGTTGGCCTGAGACAGCAAAGTGTGGGAGAGACAGTCCCGAGTTCTGCTTTAGACCTTGTGACCTCATCTAAGGGCCTTCTGGCGTGTGGGATGAGGGTCAGTGATTGCGAGACAGATTTGGGAGTCGTCTGCCAGCACTGGGTGCTTAAAAGCCCGGCAGAATGGGATCACCCAGGAGCGACTGTAGAGGAAAAGCACTGAGAACCAACCTGGGGACTGTGAGACGTCGACCGTGGACAGGAGGAGGACCCGGGCCAGGGCAGGAGGGAAGCACTGGTGTGGGGCGCTGGGAACTTACTTGTCCCTGACGCAGGCTTTCCTCGGAGTATACAACTTCTGCTCCGCACGCACTGAACTTTCACAGTGATCTTTGGGAAAAACTGTTTCTCAATTAATGAAGGGGTTTGCCATGCACTGTTCTATGAGATTTCTAGTTTTGCTTCAAAATAAATGCTTGATGCTTTGTGTTCCTGTCATCTTACCTGTCATGACTCGTAGACATTTGCTGTAAACCTCTTTGACGTGTAGATCTCGAAGTTAACTCAGTCAAATTTGTGCCCACAGTTACAGATCAGATGTAGACAGAACTGTGAAAGCTCCTAGGTTATCTTAGACCGGGATAAACCTCCCCAGTAAATTGCCATAGGGGATAAGATTCCTAGGCTCCATGTGCAGTATTTCCAAACATCACAGTGTTTTCTGGGTTGCTTCGAAAGGGGCATCTTTTACTTGCTTTCTTAACGAGCTGGAAATAATCGTTCCTGTGTGTCCTTTAATCGGAGATAGTTCTTGCAAAAAACATTCTTAGATTTCCAAATGCGTGCTTTCTGCTGTTGTGACTCCCTCTCTCCCGCAGCGCACAGGAGCTGAAAGAGCACGACTTCTTCAGGGGCGTCGACTGGCAGCACGTATACCTGCAGAAGGTACTCAGGGGGTGGGGGGGACCCCCTCCGCTGGCGCCACCCCCGCTGTGCTCTCAGTCTGCCTCCCTGCTGCCTGGCTCTGTCCCCAGGGTCCCGCCCCAGCGCTCCCTCCACAGCACTTACTCCCCTTCTGTCCTGGTGGCTCATTCCCTTTGGGGCAGCTTCCCCCTCTTCATTTATATGTAAAAATGTGCAAGAAAGATTTGTCATACACTTACAGACACTCTCTAGCCCAGCACCCCCTACTTTAAGAATCAGCATGATCAGAGAGCAGCACAATTACTTTTGCTTATTTTGAGCTACTTTCTTAAGTATTCTTGTTGATACAGTAAGACACCCCAAATTCAAGTTTTTGGGTTTTTTTTCTCAATGTTGATGATCAGCTTTGGACTCGTCTTTGCATGAACTCCCACTGTCGAGGAATGATGCTCTACTGGTCCTGCCCAGTGAGAACTGGAGTTTGGGCTCTGGTTCAGCCAGCATCAGCCTTGGGGCATTTGTGGGTTTAGGCCCCACTGCAGGCTCATGCTGAAGCCGCTGAAACAGAGGGCTGCATCTCCCTCGAGGGCATTGTGAACTATGTCCTGTGATTTATATGCGCTTGTGTGAGCGCTGCCTGGACCCTGGCACTTTGGTGTCTCGCACTGTGGTCTCTGTATAGTGTAGTAGGTGGGGGCAAGGCCGTAAGTCATCTGGTAACTGAACCCTATTTCCATTGCTCTTCCAGTACCCTCCACCCTTGATTCCTCCCCGGGGGGAGGTCAATGCAGCCGACGCCTTTGACATCGGCTCGTTTGATGAAGAGGATACCAAAGGCATCAAGGTACACCTGCCACGCTTGCTTTCAGGTTCTTACTTCAGAGGTTATTTTATTGGAAATCAGACTCTCTGATTAGTACTGGCCTGTTTGTGGACTGTAACTTACAAACGCACATCCACACACTTGAAGAAAGTAGAAGCGATCAAGGACCTGAGCTAGAAACTGCGAAAGCTTTCTTTGGACTAATCACTTTGTGTTTGATAAACTGCAGAACGGTCACATTTTTATTGATTTGGGGAAAAAAATTTTTTAATTGGAGTATAGTTGATTTACGATGTTGTGTTAGTTTCTGGTGTACAGCATAGTGATTCAGTTACACATGTATATATTCTTTTTCATATTCTTTTTCACCATAGGCTGTTACACGATACTGAATATAGCTCCCTGTGCTGTGCAGTAGGGCCTTGTTGTTTTGGTTGGGATAGACTGGTGATATAAAACTTATGAAACAGGGAAAACACTCGTGTGATGGCACATGGACTTTGCCTCAGGCCCAAAGAGCCAGCCTTAATTCTCCCAAACATCCTGATCTCTCAGTGTTAGGATGAAAAGAGCAAATGGTGTGAATCATTGTGCCTCTGTCAATCAAAAGTGAAATAATCACTATTTTTTTAATGCATCGAATCCTCTGCATTTCTCAAACGTTTGTTCCTACCATTATTTTCCAAGGAGACAGGGCGTAATTAGAGAGGGTGAGTCACGGCAGAAAGTCATCCTCTTGTGGATGTTAAGTCAAAATCTGTCACTACATGTCAAGTTCTGCTGCCCCCACTTTCCCAGTTTCCCCCAGGGTCTCCCCACTCCCTCTGAGAGGCTCCCAGTGTCTTCTCAGCTGTATCTGGAGACCCACAGTCTGGGAGCACATGGGATGAGGGGGCAGAAATGATGGGTGCAGGACTGGAGGAGGCTGTGAGGATTGTCGGGAAGGGAGCAGCTGCTGAGAGCCGCCTGGGAAGGCCAGGTACCACCAGGAACCGGGGAGGGAGTGGCCGTGGGTTACAACCAAGGTGTCAGGGAAGGAGGGTCTCAGCTGTCAAGGTGACCAGGATGCTTGCAGGACCAGCTTCTTGGGACAGCAAGGATGTTAGGTCACGCCCGGTGGATAGGACCCAGGCTGCTTCCATGATTTCAGCCATGGATCCCCTAGGGACCGCAGTGTGACCACCGCTGGGCATCTTCTGTGGCCTGGACAGACAAGTCCCTTGTCCCTTGTTGGGGTGTACCACCTGACAGCAGTGCTCTGGGAATCGCCCCTTTACAGTTAACATAAAGGGTCACTGTGGTCCCCATAGAATTTTGTCATCCAACAAACTTCTCTCCATCAAAGGGCACTACAAATAAAATGAGTGCCATGTGGAGCCCATGAAATGTTTGGTGGTCAGAAACAATTCTCGGAGTTTAAATTTTGTCAGCTGTAATCTGGGCTTTGGTGTCAGACAGATGGGGCTCGGATTGGCATCTATCAGCTGATTGAATTGGGGCCGTTTCGGGAACCTTGTGAGCTCTGGTTTCTCACCTGCAAAGGGAGCGGGTTCATGCCGGGCTTCTCTGAGGGTGGACCCCCCGTATCCGCTCCGAGCTTCTGTCATGGTGGGTCTGGTTCCTCCTGAGCAAGAGGTGAGAAGGAGCAGGCTTTGTGTCTAAAAAAGCCGCCCAAAGAATTCATTGTTCTTTAAAAAGAAAAAAAGTCTCACTTCATGTAGAGCTCTGTTTCATTCATTTTTCACGTAAGCTGAGTCATAAAGACCAAGGTTTTCTGACCTGACAGGAGGTGGAACAGTTTGCTTGTAAAGCAGAGTTGGCCGTTTCAGAGCAGCTGCTTAGGAAAGGAGGGTGGTTTTACTTTTGCCGAACTGTCTAGACTCTGTCCCAGTGCCCCCTACCACAGGGCGCTCTTCCAGCATCAGTGCTCTACCCCTCCCCACCCCTTATACACACACACACACACACACACACACATAAACACACGGGTGTTCACACTCAGAACAACCAAAGGTTTCAGCACTGGGTTTGGTTTGGGTGTCTGAAAAAAAAAAAAGAAAAGAAAGCAAAAGCTGTACAAATTTTGATCTCAGAATCAACACATTAGGACAATAGGTCGGGAAGAGTGGATGCAGGGCGCCCCAACTGTGGGTCCCTCCGTCGTTTGATTGATACCCTCAGGGCCTGGGGGCCAGCGCCCCACCCAAGCCCTTTCTCCCTTCTCCTTCTAAATAACTTGCCTGTAATAATCTCTCTCCTGTACTTACCTCTCAGGGAAGGGAGTGAGCAAGTCAAGCTTCCAAAGAGAGCCGCACTTTCTAGAGACAAGCCTATTCCTTTCCATCAGTAGGATCGCGGGTCTTTCTGCCACAGAACTGTAGCTCAGATGCAGAAAACCACTTTCCTAGCTCACTCCAGAGTGCAGCCTCGCTTAGCAGAAGAATGAAGAATTTTGGGTCAGTGGAGGAGGGTGTAGCTGAGTGGTAGAGCGCGTGCCTAGCAGGCACAAGGTCCTGGGTTCAGTCCCCAGTACCTCCATTAAAAAATAAATACATAAATAAAAACCGAATTACCTCCCTCCAAAAAAGATTTTTTTAATAAAAATAAGTTATTCTAAAAAGGATTTTGAGACATAATTGAGAAGAGAAACGCAGTCATCAGTCTATGCACCTCAGAAAGGCCAAGTTGCTTAACTCTCTGTGCATCTTTAGCTGTATGAACATACTGTTCAACTTGGATTAGCTGGGAGGTTCCCGGGATGGATGGTAAACCCAGCCAAGTTGCCTTTCTTTTCTCACTTTCCAGATGAGTAGAGGGTGGTCAGAAAGCCCTCCTGGGTTCTCCCTTGTCCTTGAATTGAAAACCACAGGAATCTGTTTTCCTGTTTTTATAAATATGATATCTTCATCATCGTGGAAATTTTATTGTGTTGTCGGAATCTTGTAGTACTTTAAGCAAATCCCTATGTATGTTACGTTTTCATTGGGAAAATGTCACGAAGAGGGAGGCCTATAGCTCAGTGGTAAAGCACATGCTTAGTGTGCACAGGGTCCTGGGTTCAATCCCCAGTACCTCCTCTAAAGATAAATAAGTAAACCTAATTACCTCCCCTCCCAAAACAAACAAATAAACAAAAATGTCAAGAAGATGCTGGAGAAGACTGGGCTGAATCCCACCGATCCGGGGCTGCAGGGGAAGCACTTGTCAGTCACCACCCTGTGTGGGTCCTGGTCACTTGACTGTCATTGGTGGGGGTTTCCGACAGCTTAACGAATCATCTCTTTATGGTTACAGGCTGTCATCTAGTTACCATCCTCCCTACGGTGAGGGCACTTTTGAATCTGTTGCCTTTGTAAGCATGTTAAACCGTAAATATCTTGATCTCTTGAAATGATCAGCTTCTCGACTGCGACCAAGAACTGTACAAGAACTTCCCCCTGGTGATCTCTGAACGCTGGCAGCAGGAAGTGGCGGAAACAGTTTACGAAGCAGTAAATGCAGACACAGATAAAATCGAGGCCAGGAAGAGAGCTAAAAATAAGCAACTTGGCCACGAAGAAGGTAAAATAGCTAGTGCATCTCAAGGTGCTTCTAATGCAATGAATTTTCAACATTTCTTGTAAAGCTGAAAGAGCATCTGGGTCGTCAAGTACTTTCCAGTAGAAGTGGGGGAGATGCCATAAATTGTTTTTGTTTTTTTGGACTCAGGAAAGTTTGGTATCGTGTGTCCAAGTCTTTAATTTAGTCCACATATAAATAATATATGTAAAGGGGGGCGGCAGTACTTTGTCAATATGCCCTCTTCTCTTGGAGTGTTTGGGGCCAGTTTGGAAGTTTTTTTCCTTGAAGATGAAGTATTGTAGTGTCAGGAACAGGGCTGGCTTTGTGGGCATATGACCTCTTTGGTCTTATAAGGCCCCCCACTCAGGTTAATGCTTTGCTTTCACCATCTTGACATTTTAAATAATTTTTTAACAAGGAGGCTGCGTTTTCATTTTTCACTGTGCCCCACATGGTATGGTGAGGACCTTAGATTATTTATTACTTGTCAAGAGATGTAAATGTATACAAATGTATTTATATGATAAACAGCATTAAAGAGTCGTCAAACCATATTTTTACTTATAAGATTTGAGTCCCCCATTAGGATTTCCAAAGTGGAATGCATAACGTCAAGTGTTAAATAAATCAGTCCTCCTGGATTCACCAAATAATTGTCACTGTTGGTTTTTCTGAGGCTTTATGAATTTTGGATATTTAAATGTATTATGATTAGTGATCAGTGATTCTGATAAGATATCTTTTCATTTTACTTCTAAGCAAAGAATGACCAGAAACAGTTACAGTCTGTGCACAGGTTGCTCTGGTGGGGGCATCCTGAGGCAGGATTCCTGGGTCTTAGTGACTGTTCCCCAGTAGCATTTATCGTCTATTAAGAAAAGGGTCCTCCATCCGGGATGAACGACTCATTACCTCAAAGTCCACTGAGTGCACCAGGGGAACATGACAGCCCTTTAACTGTGCTCATCTCCATTCCTCAGGGAAAGGGGCTCTATTTCTAAGCCGTTCTTTGGGAAATGGGTCCACTGAGATCACTTTGGACCATGTTCGCGAGAGATTTTACATAGAAAAATCATATCCGCGGTAACTTGCTCAAGGGAGAGCCATGATGTTACTAGAATATTAACAAATTGGACCCAGAAAAAAAAATTGGTCTTAATTACCTTGTCTGAAGCGTATCCTTTTAGTTAGAGCTGCAGTTAGACCATCTAGCAAATCAATGAATTTATCTTCGTGTGTAAGTGAGTCGTGGCGGTAAAACCAGATCTTGGTTTTCCAGAACAATGCAGTCTAGGCTTAGGTCCCTGAAGTGAAAATGTGAGGCTCCTACTTGTTAAACAGACTTTAGAAATGCAGCCAGTTTTTCCATTAAAATGGCAATTCTGTGAACCACATCCCCTCACCGCTGACCCTCCCCAGGTCCCTCCTTCCCTCATTTTTTCCCCTCCTGCTGGTGTCCAGGTGATGCAACATCGGTTTTGCTTATTTTGCTTGTTGTCTGACTCTCCCTTTGGAATGTAAGCTCCCCGAAGGTGGGGACCTTGGTCTCTCTCATTCGCTGCTGAATCCAGAATGCCGAAGACATCCCCAGGACCTCTGCGCTCATTTCCTTCCTAGTTGAATGAAGGAGTGAGTGAGCTGAGCTGAATGAATGGTTTTAGCACAGTCACCAAAGCCTGCAAGGAAGGCAAAGCAAACCACTTAAAATCAGTCTTTTTTTTTTTTTTTTTGAGAGACAATTCTTTGCTGTAAAAATGGAATCAGGACTCAACATGAGTATGAATGAGCTTGGTCTCTCCTGCAGAACCATGTATTCAAAGGATCACTATAACCTTAAGTGGAAGAAGGAACAGTTTTTGTCCCCTGTGTTGCTTTGGCTTACCTGGACAGGGAAACCCCTTCTCTGTTGGGTTTTTTTTTTTTAAATAACACGAAAAGGAGAACCTCAATTCTGTAGAAAGGCAGAGGTACTTTGGGGCATAGCTCGAGTTTAATCACTCTCTCTCCTCCAATTCTTACTACACATCATGGAAACATCGTTTGCGAACAAACTTTTGCCCTCTCAGAGCAATAAAAGAACATCATGAATTTCTCAGAATATTGAGAAACAGCCATTTAATAATGTCAGTAGTGAGCTGAAGACACCTGTTCTGGAACGTGTATAAAACTGAAATAATGAGGGCAGGGTAGAGCTAGGGGTGGGGCATGTGCTTAGCATGCACGAGGTCCTGGGTTCAATTCCTGGTACCTCCATGAAAAAATTCATGATAAAAAAAAATAAAATAAAATAATGATTTCTGTAATGTGTTCTCCTTATAGAAGCGTGCTTTCCGCCCCCTTCCCCCACAAATGTGTGATTCTGTTTGTTCTGAGCAGCAGCAGACATTCTGGGTCAGACTCTGCTGAGTGCGTGGCTGTGTTCTGTTCCTCAGATTACGCCCTGGGGAGAGACTGCATCCTTCACGGACACATGCTGAAGCTGGGGAACCCATTCCTGACTCAGTGGCAGCGTCGATATTTTTACCTCTTTCCAAACAGACTCGAATGGAGAGGAGAGGGAGAGTCCCGAGTAAGTCTGCGGCAGCCCCATCCCACCCTGAGCCCTTCTTCCTGGGGTGTCGACTGTCCCGGGGGTGATTTCACGTTGCCGGCATGTTTTGTACCTAAAGGTCCCCCTAAGCCCTGTGTGTCTATTTTAACTGGTATACGTGAGACCTGAATGTTCAGATGTTCACTTTGAAACTTCTGAGTCAAGGAAGGATTTGGTAATACCTGAAAATAGGACGTACCGTTCAGTGAGGTCAAGGCAGGCGGGCTCGAGGAAGGCGGGAGAGCAGTGGGCAGATCAAAAAGGAAGAAAGAAAAATCTGGGACTTGGTGTCTGACAGAGGTGTTTAAATCCACTGCTCCATGACTCTGGGGCTTTGAGCACGTTCTGTTGACTGAGCCTCAGTTTCCTCGTCTGTAAAATGGGAGAAGTGCAAATTATAACAGTAGTATGATTCTGCATATTTATCTCAGGCCAGGGGCTATAAACACACACGCACGCTGCACGCACGCACGCACGCACACACACATACACACACACACACATAAGCATTTAATTTGTTTAGCAACCTTTGAGGTCCAACCCTTATTTTATAAAGAGGGAACCAGGCGTTAGAGAGGGAAGGCCTGGTGCCAATGACAGATAGACAGGTGAGGGTGAAGAGTGGTTCTGACCAGGGTCTGCCTGGGCCCCGAGTCTCCATTATGCAGCACCCCCAAGTCAGGGTCCAGTCAAATGAGGCCAGGGCACCTGACCCCACCTCCTATTGTCTCTACCTTGTTGGAAAATCCTAAATAGGTTTCATACAATTAGTAGCAAAGATACAGCTGCCCTCTAAGGTCCTTTAGAGAGGTAATGTTTATGAACAAGAAAAAGGAGATTTCTGATCCACACCATCCCGCTCAGCAAGACAGACAGCATTTACTAAGCACCTGCTGTGTGAGGGGCCCAGAGCTCGTCTCCATGGAAGGTGGCAACCCAGGGGAAGGGTTTCTACTCTTGGGAAAGGAAGGGTTGGTTGTTGTAAGCAGGACAGCGGTCCCAACTGTGAAAAACACGGTTGGTGTATCGGAACAGCACCGTCAGCTCACCAGGGGCCAGAGCGGGGGAAGCTGTGATCCCGCATCTTGTGGATTTGACTGTGGAATGTGTTTTGCAATTCCTTGTTGGTGAAGGTGCCATTGGATTATGAGTGTTTGCTACTGCCTCTTAGCACATTCCTTACAAATAAGCAAGATCGTCTCACTATCACTAGTGCTGGGAAGGTCATTTTCTGAAAACTAATACATCTAGAATCTGCGTTATGATTAATGAGATGCTGGGGGTCTTGAATTATAACTCAGGTACTGGTAAGTATTATGTATGATATATATAACATTATATAAAATATATGTAATCATATAATTATAAGAATTATATTTTATATAATATTACATATGTATTTTTTACATTGTAGAATATTTACTAGCACCTGAATTATAATTCATGCAAGCATTATTATGTAATATATATTTCCAGATAATGAGTGGCCCTGGGCATATTAGGCATTCACTATGCTATCTGCTGGTAAGCCACTGTTTTACACATTGAAAGGGAATTATCTCACTTTTCAGGATATTTGAAAACTGTTTTAAAAAAATCTTCTGTTTTACACCGGATGCAATAAATTATCTCGGTTTTAGAAAGAGTGTTTAGTGTTCTATTGGTGAAGCCATGTTTAACATGCACGGGTAGCTTTGTGAAGTTAAGTAAGGAAAAAGAAAACGTGAGTTTATGATGGTGTTGTTTTTCATTTAGGATTCCTGGAGTATTTATCCCAAAAAACATAAGCTGGTAAGGTCCTCAACGACGCTATCGCATTCCCTTGAAGCAGTAATGCTATAGACATAGTGGGACAGTCTTTTCAGAACTGGATTTAGAACATCATACCAATATGATCAGAACGGCGCCGGCTCACAAGCTAACATGGCCAGATGTTTACCGAGCTGCTGGGTCCAAAGCCAGTGACACGCTTCTTGCTCATGTAGATTTTCTGCAGTGTCTCATTGTCCCCTCACAGCAGGATGGACAGAGTCTAGCAGAGTGTGTGATGCAGAAAGTGCACGTGCAATTCACGCTCACACGTCAGTTCTGCGTCGAGGGAACGGCTTTGCTTTTTGCCTCGTAGAGACGTTCCTTTCTTGGCAGTTTTCTTTGGGATATTATATTTTGAATCTTTGTCAAACATTCAAAATATTCAAAAATATTACATGTTCCTTTTGTAGCCATTTCCCTCCGCTTCTAGAATATCGTCAAAGAAAGAAAAATGCTGATTTTTGTGGTTACTTTTTCTAAGCTGATAGTTTCGGTGTTATTTTATTCATTTAACTTGAGAAATCATAAAATGACCTGAGGTAACATATAATCTTTTATTTTTACGGTCAGCAAAACTTACTGACAATGGAGCAGATTCTGTCCGTGGAAGAAACTCAGATTAAAGACAAAAAATGCATTTTGTTGAGGATAAAAGGAGGGAAGCAATTTGTCTTGCAGTGTGAGGTGAGTTCGTATTTTTATTTTTTCCAGAGGGGAAAGTTAGGGCAATGACATAAGTAGCGAAGAGGCCTGCCGGGTTGAAAAACACTTTCTCACTTGCCCAGGGAGCAAAGAAACCTCAAAGATACAAAGTGTTCGGCAAATTAATAGTTATTTTAGAAACATTTTACATTAGAAAATGGCAGGAGGAAAGACGTGAAATCGTGTGATTACCGTCTCTGGAAACGGTCCAGTATTCAATAGGGGCCTTGAATTTTATTTGTAACACAGTTGTCCAGATCTGAGCTGATCTTTCAGCATGTTTGAAGTCAAGGGTTGTGTGTTTAAATAAACAGAAGGTGCCCAAGTAGCTTTTCTCAGGGGAGATACCATCATTCTGTCCCCAAAGTTCTATGAAGTCCCAAACTTAATTCCTGAACACATCTCTACTGGGATGTGGAACTTGGGGGCTCGGCGTAACAGCCGCTGGGCCTCCGTGAACGTCTCCGTCAGCTCCTTCTTCCACTGCACGAACTCTGGGTTCGTTGGGGTGGAGGGGGACCTGTGGGACTGTGTGTGAGAAAAGAGTGTATTTAGAGAGAGAAAGCAGTAGTAGATACAAAAATATGTTTTGTTTTTTTGAAGTATAGTCGGTTTACAAGGTGTTAATTTCTGGTGTACAGCATAGTGATTCAGTTACACAGATATATTCCTTTTCATATTGTTTTTCATTATATTATTGTTATAAGACAAAAATGTGTTTAATTACTTCATGATTTCTACACTTTTCTACTGGGGTACTGTGTGTGTGTGTGTAAAGAGCATATTTAGAGAGCTAAACCAATAGTTGATAGAAAAAAATGTGTTTAATTACTTCATGGCTTCATTGCACACGCAAAAGTGCTTTTTAAATTTGTCAGAACCTCCTCCTCGTATATTATTTTATGGACTCCGAGTTGTCTTAGACATCAGAAATCATAGGTAATCTCTCAACACAGGAGAAGCGGTGACTCTCCTGGAGGATTACACGAGACTTCTCTGAAGGGCGTGGTGCTGCCTGTCCCTTCTCTGGGCAAGGGGACCCTGGAGGAAGTCCTCTTGTGTCCCCCAGTTATCCCACTGCAGGGAGGGATGCAGGCTGTGATTTCTCAGGGGTTGTGGGTTGAAGTGGGGGGATTCTGAGGACATTGGGACTTGCCAGAGGCATCCACGTCTGTGGGCAAAGCAGGTGACACTGTCCCAACCCCTCTTCCCTGTGTGTTTTCATCCAGAGTGACCCAGAGTTCGTGCAGTGGAAGAAGGAGCTGACGGAGACGTTCACGGAGGCCCAGCGGCTGTTACGCCGAGCCCCCAAGTTCCTCAACAAGTCTCGGTCCGCCGTCGTGGAGCTCTGGAAGCCGCCCCTCTGCCACAGGAACAGCAATGGCCTCTGACAGCCTGGACCGGGACAGTCCCGGAAAGTCCACACCGGGCTGCTCAGCCTTGGGGAGAGGTGCAAGGAGGAGGTCGATGCTCTCACCCACGGGATTCTCCGTGGCTCAGGAGCCCCCAGGACTCCGAGATGCTTCTGCGAGGAGGGGTGACTACCCCCAGTCTCGGGGTCGCCTCCCTCCCCTTCTGGGTGCCACCTGCCTCCATCGCATCTGTCCGCCCTCAAAACTACTGAAGAAATGGAAGCTTTTTCTTTGCCACACATCCTTTTGGTTGTAGGTGAATCTAGAACTTGAGGTGGTTCCTACTGACCACTTCATTTTTTAACGTCTGACACAAAACGTATCTCAGACTTGCCAAAAGAGGATGTGACCGTCTGCCAAGTTGGGTAATAGATTGCCCCCGCGTTGCCATTTTTGGTCCACAAGCAGCCACTGCTGGCTTTAGACGTCTTTGCTCCAGGCCACGGGGCAGGGGTGGCAGATCACCGGGTGCATCTTCTGTGTACTTCAAATCTGGCCTCTCATTGCCCAGGCATTGAAAGCTGCAGAGATTTTCCAAAAGGGTTGTACCTGGGCCCCCACTGTGTGTGCTGCCCCCATAGGTACAGGCCAGTCCCCAACAGGGAGCTTCGGCAGCTGGGAACCGAGGCAGCGGGTCCTCCGAGGGCACAGAAGTCGCTCAGCATCGAAGGTGTCGGACAGTAGATGGTTGGGAAGGTTTCCAGCAGCTTTGGTGTTGTCCATTTCAAGGCAATAGCGATTTTCAAAAACCTTCCAGTAATCAGCACTTTCTCGTGTCTGGGTGCCCAGGAACGCTTTGGGAGGGGGGCGGTTGAGCCGGTCTTGGGTTTGGACAGGAAGCAGTTGTGGGACCCAGCAACTCTGGTTCCCTCTGCCTGACCTCAGGAAGCATCTCAGTCGTGGATGTATTAAGGAAGGAAACTCTGTTTTACATTTTAGTATAATTTAAAATGAATTCTATTGAAAAAAGAAGAAAAGAACGAATGTGTCAAAATGGGTTAACTGTGTATCTTGACCTGTGGTGGTGGTCAGCTGTCGTTAGTGAATAATTCTTTGCACTGGGTGACTCATTCTGACAGTGTCACAGCATAAAGGCCGTTTCCCTAATCCCAGTGGCCCCCGCTCCCCGTGATTTGTTTCAGGCCCCAAATAAGTGCTGGGTTGTCAGAACCAATGTGTTTCCCAGCAGAATCCTCCGTGTCGTCAGACTAAAAATAGTAACGGTAATTTTTAAAGTCCACTTATTTGTCCTATTCTTAGTGCAATTGAATTGTATGTTTCTAAGTCAACTACTAACAATATAAATAACTTGACATCCTAATTATCTGCATCCTGTCCTCGATATTTTTGGTGGTTCCAAATGTTTGTGTTGACATTCGTGTGCCTCTTTCACTGGGAAAGTTAAGTCCTTTTTAATGAAATGATGTTTTGAGAGTCTGGAAGATAATTACTGAAAGAGCCTTTTATTTCGTAGGAATTAATTTGGAAAAGAAATTTGGAGGTTTACAATTTGTCTCAGCCACTAGTTGGGGTTTCACATATGTGTTCCACTATGTGCTGTTTCCAGTGCAGGAGGGGCGGGGGTACTACTTACGTGGAATCCCTCGATTTAAAAGGGAAGCACGGTATTCAAATTCTGTTTTTCTGAAAAAAATGTTAAATATCACAAATCCACCAGAGACAGAAAAGCAGTTGTTCTTCCTGAAGTGTGAGTGTCTTCCCTGGCACAGTCGACTGTAGCTGTCACTCCTGTGGTCAAGGGCTCTGTCTCAAGGTCATGTGTGCTTAGTACTTTCAGTTCAGAGATGGGTAATCACAGTTTAGAAATCACGGAGCCTCTGCCTCTGCTGGACAGACTAGAGCATTAGCCTCATGTGCAGAAGGTGCACGGACTCCTTCCGGGTCTGAGCTTGGCGTCCCCCCATTCCACCCGTACGGAATCAGCTACGCTGATTCGCATCTCTTTGCAAAGTATCATTTATGCTCTGGAGTAGAACATTAAGGTTATCTTCCCTTTGGAAAAGAAAACTGAATTAGAAATACCCTGAGAGCCCTTTTGCCTCAGATTTATTCCAAGTAAAGTTTTGCTCTCCCCCATCTTGAGTTTGATGGATAACTTCATGGTTGAGAAATGCATCAACGTGGTTGTAATTTATTAAATGTACTCTGTGAGGTTAGGACAGGCGGCTTTTTAGGGGGGTATCCAGGTGTGTTGGGGTCTGGTTAGGCGGCCCGGGAGAGGCCAGTGTTCCAGCTGAGCTCGTGTCTGCAGCCCTTCTGCTGCCAGACAGAAGACAATTCTGGGACCTTTCTGGGCCTGTACCTGCTGCCCACCTGGCCAAAGATGTCAGTTGGTTTAAAAGTCTTGGTATAAGTGGCTGTTTTAGGTTTTAAGAGTGTTGCATCATTCCTAGGTGTTTGACCCCACCTACATCTGGACCATTAAAAAGGACAAAATTGAGCACAAGTGTTCTTATTATTTTATATCTGTCTGGTCGGGCTAGTTTAATATTGTCACAGAAGATCATCAAAGTTCATGTGTTTTATAAAATCATGGTAATAGTAAGTCTTGATTTCATATTTCAAAGGAATCATGAAACCAAAGCCTAAAAATAATCGATGACTTTAAGCTGCTCTACAGCATCTATGGAATAAATTGAAAACTTCTGGGAACTGAAGGTTATTTTTTTTTCATTGAAAACATTCTCGTTGGTGCATTTATCCTCTTGCGTCTTTGGGACTCATGGTTTTTCCTTCTATATCATGTTTAAGTATGATTTTTCAGCAAAACCGGTAGAAGTCGGCTGTTGTCTCACTGCTAGTGTGAATTTCACTGCTTGTGCCTGTAATTGGACAGTTCACAGCCATGACAATTTCAAATTCTGTACATAAAGATAAGGGACAAATGTCAGGGCTCGCTGAAGAAAGGAAGCAGTCTGCTCCAGAAAGACAGCAACGAAACTGGAAAAGGTAAATCAATCAAGAGCAACAACCACAGGCAACGATTGGTTTTAAGCCAGACGTAGCTTGATTTGTGGTTTGAAATATGCTGTGCAGCTATTGAAGACAATTGTTTTAAGGCCCTCGCTGGCTATTAAAAATTCTCATTAACCAATTGACAACAGTGGTTTAACTATCAGGAAGATCAAAGTGTGGTTTTTTTTTTTCCTGATGGTATTTTGATTTCACTTGAAATTTATAGTGGGGCCAATCCAATACGGTTGAATTTTTGGTGGAATTGATTTTTTTCTGACATTTCGAAATTGTCACATATCATGAAGACAGAATTCTCAAAACTGGACTTTTTTCATGTGATGTAAATCTATTAAAAATTTTTTTGAAATGTGCTGGCGTAATCTTAAGGCTTACCTTGCGTGGTTTAATTATGTGCAATTTTTTTTTCCTCAGTTGCATTCAGGGAAGTGTTTCTGTGTCATTCGAGATGCTTGAGGAATGAACTCCTCCCCTCCCGGGGGATGGAGGTCTTGTTTGTACCCAGAGAGGAGTTGGTCAGGCTTCACTGGGATCTGAGATAGATGCTGGGAAGTGGGCAGAGTGGGTGTCACCGATGGCAGGGTTGTGGCAGAAATGGGGCAAAGGAAAAAAAGAGGAGTTAATTTGCTGGTAAAAGCCAATCTCTTTACACCATAAAGCACCAGGGAAATAACTGAGTTAAACTCGGTGCTTTGGGGGGTTTCCCCCCTTATAACAAGAAGAGTCAAAGGGGAACTCTTATGAGATTTGGTTGCTTTATTTTTGAACAGGTGGAGTTGCTGAACTTATTAAAAGACTGTTTGCTTTCCACCGGGACTTTTCTGTAGAAATTAGGTCCTCCTGCTTGTCATTCAGCATCCTCTGGGAAGGCGCACGGGGCACACAGCTGATGCCCATCTTGTCTTGGTGGCGTGTACTCTGCAGGCCTCCTGGGGGACCAGAGGTGAGATGTGCGAGGCTGTCAGTGCAGCGCCCTGCTGGTCAGGTGGGGACAGTGCCGTCCGAGCACTGAAGCTGCCCTAATTCCCCTGCAGTAACAAGACTGGGCTTGCTTCATGAGGCAGGCAGGCTTCTTGAATAGTTTAAATTTTCAAAACTCTTTTTTTCCCCCTAAAAATCTTAACATGATTTTTCCCTCCCACATCAGGTTGACTGAAGAAGCTTGAATTCATTAATTCCTTAAATTCATATTAATAGAATTTTTTTTTGTATCCAGGCCACATCTTAAAAAATTTACTATAGAATAAATGAAAGTTGAACTATAAAATGATACTTCTTGGGTTCCTCGGGTCATAATGGCCTTTAGATTTTCTTCGCCTTCAAAAACTCAAAGAGCTGTTCTTTTACAGCAGAGTGACAGAGATGCAAGATGCTGGCAGCATCTGAAGGCTTGGGGGCACAAGTGGCTGGCCACTTGGCTGACATGGCTGGGTTAGTACTTACTGATCAATTTAGCATCCCAAATTTTAAATCGCCTTTATTAAAAAACAAACAAACAAACACGTGCACACTACAGAACATGGATTAACAGTATATGCATTCCATCAAAACCAAAACGCCATTTTAGAGTTAAACAACGCATGTTCTTATAGTAAATTCTCTTATATGTAACAAACCTCAGAGTCATCTGTGAGAAACTGGTAACCATGCTTCCATTTCAAATTTTGTCCTAATATAAAATGTGTCTCATACAAGGGTAGGGGATGGAGAAATATGTCTAATAAGTGTGTATTCATATTCCAAAGGACTTGAAATTCTACTTCTTGTTTCTTAGTTGATTCTGTCTCATGATGTACATATTAGATGTGGTTTATAAGCTAAACACTGGCCTTTTTTAAGTTCTATTGTTAAATTGTATTTTTCTATGTTTTAACTAATCATTATTGATTTGGCTCTTTCTGGGTAACATAAAGATTGCCAAACTACATATATATACATATTTTAAACACAAGTTCTATTTTAGCACAAAAGCATTTTGTATTATTTATTGAATCCTTAAGTTTGTTTCCATCAAAAAAACCAGTCCTTATCACTTCTGCTCCTTTTTATTTGTATAGTTTGTTATTTAAGGAAATGCAGTCCTTCCTGTTTTTTTGTTTCTTGTTTTTCACAAAATTGAAGCAAAGCAGATAGCATTTGGGGTGAACGTCCCTTCTCTGCCACGGACAGTTCTCAACAGCAGCTCACCCTCTGATCTGCGCTGAGAGTCAAGTGCACTTCCTGGGGTAACATCCGACAGCGAACTTGCTGCAGAATACTGCGTTCATCTACCTCTTCCGAAGGCCCCCCTCCTTGTTGACAGGTTCCCCGACTGCGTTACTCTAGACAGGCTCCATCATCGTCAAAGAATTTTGGGAGTTTGGATGGCATTCTCTCGAAGTGTAGGTTTCACGGCATCATGTAAGCCCCAGTGAGTGGGGTCGGGGGCTATTACCCCTTCTGTATGATCATCCTTCAGGACCTGACGTTCACCTGCAGAGCATCATTTCTGACTCTTCTTGTGCCAAATCCCCCAAATCAGTTTTGCCACCGCCTCAAGATCTGACTGTTGCATCTGATCCATCAACTGCGGACGGACGCCTCTTCCTCCACACGCTTTAGAAATGGCCCGCTGGGTTTACCAGCAGCACTTCCAAGAGCAGCACATTTGAATGTGACTTCCCCCCTCGGTATTTCAAGATGGTTTGGGAAATGGGCTTGTATATGGTCCCAGCTTTGCGAGAGGTCTTATTTTTGAGTGGACCCTTGAGGATCCATGTGAGAGGGGGGTCCCTCCTCATGCGCTGACCTTTGTCTCTCCCCGTTTTCCCAGCTGTGTAGCCATCCACGTAGTCATACATTTACTCTGTTCATGGCAAAGCAAAATACCCTTAAAGAAATAAGTCCGTTTTCTTTTTTTTTATTAACAAGTCCATTTTCTATCGTGCATCGCTGTACTGAGCAAAGCCAGTGAATCAGATATTGTAAATCTCGATAGTGTAGCTATTAAGTCATTTGTTTTTCTCTCTTTTCACATCAGTTGCGCCAGTGGAGGTTTACGTCAGCTCTCAGCATGCATTCACTAGTGTGCTTTTGCAATTGTATCCCACGTGAGACGCTGTTTGGGTCACCTGCCCTGTGTGTGGCGTGTCACTATCAGTTACTATCACCATATTTCATGGCTATTTAGGGGGCAGCCAGGCTGGTTTTCTGTGTTTATCAATTGCTTATAGAAACTTTAATGGGAAGGACATGTACAAAGGTACTTTGGTGTGCTCTCCCCCCCCCATTAAATTAAATTAATTAAGGAAACTGCATTTCTTTATCAAGCATTTAGGTCATCAGGAAATGACTCATTTTTAAGAATCCTGACTTTGGGGAGAATTCATGCGGAGACTGATTTTATTACAAAATGAAAAAATAAAAGGATGGGAACCACCGAATAAGCGTTTCTGCTGATTTGATGGACTGTTTGAGCACAGCCAACTTCAATGTCAGGGTTTTGGAGACTACCTGCTTGTGTCAGACATGGTGCCAGGAAAGAGTCTGGGAAAGCCGGGAGGTCCAACTCATCTCCAGTTTTTCTAGAAGTGATGCCAAGCTCCCCCGTGTGATTCTCGGGTGACCCTGGGGTCCCTCCCTGGACTTAAGACCTCTCACTCTCCATCCCTGCTCCCAGGAGGACATGAGAGACCTTGTGGTGCACATCACTTTAAACCAGAATCCAAGGAGGTGGTGGCCCCAGAGCCACGACTTCTTGGGCGGGACTGTCTGCTCGTGGGTCCAGAGGTTGAGGGTAGGGCAGGTACCTCCGTCCTTGAGCTGGAAGCACCTCCTGTCCCTTGCCGGTTCAGGAAAGAAGGAAGTCACAATTGGTGCACATAGCCATCCGGTTTCCCTGGAATGTAGTTGTGTTTGCAGACTTGAAAACCTCTTAATGGAGTAATTGACGGGAGCCCCAGCTATGGGGAACGTAGTCAGTTCCATAGGCAGAGGGCAGCCGTGCAGTGGAGCCCTGGGTCTGATGCACCACATAACCAAGGACCATGCCTGAGAGCTGCAGAAATCCAGTCCCTCCTTGGAACCCAGAAGGAAGGGCAGTATCCTGGGGACCCTACTCCCAGCAAGGTCACGGGGCAACCTCTTTGGGCCTAACGTATGGACATGACTGGTTTTTGCATTCGTATTCTTACTCTTTAACTTTGGTCTGCGGGTAAGATGCCCAGTTCTTCAGTTTCCCTTGTAGGCATACAGTGTTGATTTGCTAGCTGGTTAAACACGTCTCCACCTGACTGTCAGTCATAGTTTTCTACGGGGATTTTTCAAAATTTCCTCCCTTTCACGCGTATATTAGTGATCGTGGGAAGCGCCTGCATTGGGGACATCCAGCCTGGTCCTATTTTAAACCTAACTTCTGCCTCATTGTTTCTATGTGACAGATAACGATTATTTCACTTCTCTGTCGTGAAATGGCCTACTGACTGGTGAGGACTGGGAAAAGAGAGGAAGAGAATTATGAATAGTCTGTTTGTGTACAGTTGGGTCCCTCTAACAAATGTAAAGTAAGATCATACCGACGGCACTCTGGAGGCTTAGCTCAGTACGGTCAACAAATACAGTTGTCCTTTGTGGTCGCCACTGAAAAAGCTTCCATTTTGCATTGGAAGTTTCAACGGGGTGTAATCTGTAAGTTTGAATTACTATTGTAAACTTGAAACTAATATAATATTGTAAATCAACTATACTTCAATAAAAAAAATACCACTTTAGTTAGGCTCAGTGCTTAAGATTATCTGTGTGTACAAGCAAGGGCAGCTGTTTCTTGTTCTCTCGCCCTCACGCTGCAGCATGAGTCCCAATAAAGCCTTGCCTGAACTTCTCATCTGGCCTCTTATCACTTTCTGTTGATTAGAGAGTTCCAGAACCAGAGTCAGTAACACAGGCAGTGGACAGGGCACTCTTTCGAGCATCCTGTTTTGTGCCATGTTTAAGTCTGTGTCATCTGGGGCCAGGACTGCCTAGGTTCTAAATCCTGGCTCTCCCCTGCGAGTTGGTTCATTTTTCTGTGCCTCCGTTTCCCCACCTGTGAAATGGGAGTGGGGAAACCCTACCTCCTAGGATTGTCGGGAATGGAAAATGAGTTCATTAAAGGCCTCAGGTTGGTGTCCAGGCGTGTGGTAGTGGCTGCGTCCTCCTTACACTTATTTACATGCATTGATTGTTTACCGGGAGACGCCAGCACCGGGTCCAGTAATTTCCTTCCAGAGTCCCAGCTGGAACGTGGAGCCGGGCTCTCCTCGTCCAACTCCAGTGGCCACTGGTTATCTGCATGGAGCAGAGGCAGGAGCATGGCTGTACTGCCCGCCCGGGACAGGGATGACGGGTGAGAATGTGCTTGCGTCGGGAGCTGTCCCCTCCCCTTTTCTGCGCCACCAAATATGTCCATGCCCTCTGACTGCCACGCTCCGATGGCCACCCCAGGCTGCCGTCTCCTGCCCAGACCTGGAGCTCACCAGCTAATTTTAGAAATGACTTGTCGACTCAGCTGCTATCACATTGGCGCAGAGGGAGGGTGCGGGAGGACAGGGAGGAGCAGTGAGGGAAGGGGATGTGTGTGACAGTGTGGGGAGGGGAGCGCTGACATTTCTCCTCTGTGCCTGCTCTTTCGGCTTGGTGGGGTCTCTGCACTGAGACCTGGGGAGACCTTTCAGGTGACAGTGGATCCTGAGACCTGTGGCCCTGTGGGTTGAAGGTACCGTCGGGCTGGGTTTTGCGATGGGCACTTGCGAGTCGACAGGCACAATTTTCGGGAATGTGCTTTGGGGGCTGCGGTGGCAGGCCTCTGGTCTGTCCGTCTATTTTAGGCCTTTCTGATGTGGCCGGCCTCCGGGGCCTCTTCCCTCTGCCGCGTGCCTGCATCGCTCGTAGAGAAAACAAGAGTGTTTCATGGGCAGATTTTAGGACGAAAGGCTGGGGCGAGCGGATACTTTTAAGGACCACCCTGATCAGGACCCAGCTGTTTGCTGCTTATGAAAATTATATATATTTAGAGTCACGAGATAACCTTCACTTTGGAATCTCAGCCGGCAGACGGTGGGGCTCAGATTTTTTCCCCCAACTACCGGTGATTTCTGCTTAACTGGGTGTCAGTTTACAGTCAGGAGGCCAAACTCTTCCCCTTTTCATGTTCCCAATGCTGTTGAGTATAAACCTTGATAGTAGTTTTTTATTCCGTTTATTCCAAATAAGGATGGGTTTGGGGTGGGGGAGGGGTGGCGGGGGATGAAGGTTTGAATTTCATGTGGCGCTGACTTGATCCCCTGTCTGAGAGGAGGTGTTTTCTCTGTCACATTCGGGCATTTCTTTGAATGGAGAAGTTGCATGGGGCCTCGGGGGGTGGGGGCGGAGGGGGACAGGGGAGGGGGCTGTGTTTTCACCTGGAACTCCCTCCCCAGAGTCAGGCCTCAGGGCCACGGCCTCTGTGTGGCTTCTCCATAGAGGTGGCTGGGAGGGGAAACCCCAGTCAGTTCCAAGCTGCCCGGTCTGGCCTTGACCCTCCAGGAGCCTGGGCTTCTGTCCTGCAAGGCCTGGAAAACTCGGCTGCAGCTTTCACTTTGTGGCCAGCCAAGCAGATGCCCGGTGTCCAACAAGACCATGGTTCCCTCGGAGTGGTCTTTGCTACTGACTTAGGTCCTCCTGTGTCCGGTAATATATCCAGGGTGGGCTGGGGGAAGGCCCGTGTGGTTTAGGCTGTGTGGTGAGTTCTAAAAAATAATGACCCAGAGAGAGAGGGGAGGGGGAGGAGGAGGAGGGTCTCCTGGTCTCTTGACTTTTGAGGGGCTGCATGTCACCAATAATAGACATTTGGTGTCACCTGCACAGAGGCCTGGTCACCTTGAATAGCCTAGTTTGGATGCTGCTGACTCTGTGACCTCAGATCCGCCCCTTCCGGAATCTGAGTTTTAGTTATGCCTTCTAAAACCTGAGGGCCCTTTAAATAGTGCAGCTATGAACATTGGGGTGCATGTATTTATTAAAAATTAAATTCGTTGGGGTGGGTGTAGCTCAGTGGTAGAGCATGTGCTTAGCATGCAGAAGGTCCTGGGTTCCATCCCCAGTACCTCTATTTAAAAAAAAAAAAGCATTTAATAAAAAAAAAAAAACATCAACCAACATAAATAAATAATTAATTTACAAAAACCCAGAAGGCCTGGGGCAAGACCATCCTGGAGACAGCTTCCGGAATTCAATATCCAGGGCAGCGTTTCTGCAAAGATGGGTCATTGATTACCTCCATCGATCACACCAGGGAGGGGGGTGCTTTAAAAATGCAGATTCCCAGGACCATCTCAAAACTACTGAACAGTCTTGGGGGAAAGGGGCCTGGAAATCTGTAGATTTCCAACCTGACAGGTGGGATTGGTACCCACCAAAGCTAGAGAACCACCTTTCCTCTGTGGGAGCCAGTAAAACCCCTAGGCACCCACCTTGTCAAACCTCACTGCATCCCAGACGTGGAAAACACACACTGTCCTCTATTAGGGTCTGATTATTGCAAAATTTCCTAAGGCCAGTGTTCAGACAGGGTAAGATCAAGTGCTTCTGGTGGCTTTTGGGGATAAGACCAGAAGGCCCAGAGGCTGGAGAAAACTTCCTGGTACTGCTGAAAGGATGGGGACTCTGGCTGTGTCTCTCCTCAGCCTTGATGAGATAGCCCCTACCCAGTACGTAAAAACACTTGTCTGAATGGTGCAGTGGTATAAGACATATCCTCAAATTTTTTATTTAATCGTTTTTACTTTTTACATCAGTTTTAGATTCAAAGCAAACTTGAAGGGAAGGTACAGAGATTTCCCACACACCCCCTGCCCCCCACATTCACAGCCTCCCCATGATAACATCCACCACCAAAGTGGGACGTTTGTGACAACCGATGGACTTATATTGACATGTCCTTACCACTCCAAGGCCATAGTCGATATGCCGGTTCACTCTTGGTGGTGTTCATTCGATGGGTTTGCACAAATGCACGAT